AAGTGCTTGCAGTCTTTGGTTTGTCGACGACCATAAGAACCCAAAGAGACAATTTAATAAGGAAAGTCATGAAATTACTTTGGCCCAAAAAACAGTATGTTTTATGGCTTAAATGTTGCAACTTTTTCAAAAAATAGTTAGATTGATTAGGAGCCCTGGTCAGAGAAGCAGGGTGCATATATGTTTTACTTGCCCATCATTCTTTAATGGGGGGGTGGTGGGTTGGAAGAAATGGGAATGGAAAAAATGTACAACACTCCAGCTTCCTTTGTGAGAGTAGCATGTTACAAAATTGAGGAATCCTGCTTTCATTTCCACCAACATCCTGCGAAGCAGAGCAAAAAGCTGCAAACTCCTGTATCATGAAAGCTAAACACTAAGCGACGTATTAATCTAATATTTCACAAAATTATTGCGCAAACATTTTAGACCAGAACTGAGGAGCAAAAAAACATTAAAACCATAATGCTCTTGAGGTGTTCTTGGGAGGGCGAGGTAAGTCAGTTCATTCGTAAATAATCTGTACGTTTAAAACAAACTCCCAGGATAGCATGATTCCAATCTGGCTTTGGGGGCTGGCGAGCGGCGGGGAGAAGGGTAGGCAGCCTGTCAGTGCGACAGATTGCTAGGAATTTGCCTTAGGAGACACCTGTGCTAATCCTATGGAGAAGTTAGATGAGGATGGATCTAACCAATTATTACAGTCACTGAAATCCCTTGTGTGAATATTTACATATGACCAACTTAGGAGAAGTCCAACTGAGAAGGGTATGCAAAAAGTGGGGGGAATAAAGTGTGCAGATGGTTTGAAAATTGAACACTGCCGAATACATTCAAGAGCATGCATAAGATCCAATATGAAAACCCACCGATAAAGCTACATTTTATGATAACATTTCCAATTCGTAAAGGAAGTAAAGAATCTGAACTCCTGCTCGTAAATCCTTTAGTTAAATTACGGCAATCCTTTCCCCCACATGATGTTCAATTTAAAGATAAAATGAACATTCAATAACAGCAAGGTTTCAGAATTGGTGTACCGTACCTAATAAGGAAGATGCACCATACAGTAAACACTTCAATCTCCCAAAACCTGCACATATCCAAAATAAAATGAAATAAAAAAACATCATTCAAAAAGTAGATAAGTTATTTTACTGACAGAATTCTCTGGTAAAATTTGCACATGGATTTCTTCCTACCTGAAATGTTCATTTATTTTGGTCAGCTGTATGATGAACATTTACAGTAACAAATACTGTATGTTAGTAGTATCTCAAATCTGTCCATGTCCTGCATTTCCACAACAAAGAGCTTTGCAGTTGTTCCAGTGTGCTACAGCTTTAAACAATGGTGACAAAATACAATGTCAAGGATATGTGTCCATGTACATCTGCAGGGATTATCTAGCCAGCTGTCATAAATTATTGTGTTACATTTGGAGACATGAAGGTACTACTGTTTAGGTTAATGTTTGGGGTACGTCATCCTTCTTCAAAATGGAATGGAAATATTGGGCTTGAAGAGCTCTTGAATAGAATGCAGGGTTCATCAGAGGGAAAAAAAATAGGAAGTTAAAATAAATGATCATTCAGTTCAGAGCTCAGTTCAACCATTTATCCTCCTTTCTCTGATACAGGAACTTCCTCGCCCATTGGTTTATTTCTGATGAAGGAATAAACCTGAAACGTTAATGTACTCATTTTTCCCCTTCAAATGCTGATTGACCCGACATGCATTTTGAGCTTTTTTTTGTCTTAGCTCAGCAACAGGACCACAGAATCACACAGTGTTCATGGAAAATTTATTTCGAAAGGAGAAATGACATTTGTAATTACAAATATTGAAAGCAAATGGGTGTTTGTTAAAATTCGAAACTGCAATTATTTTAGAGTCCAACAGCGGCCCTGTTACAAATCAATAAAATATTCCAATTACTGACATATGAAGTCTGCCCAGTTTAATTTATTTTGTGAAGGCTACATCTTCACAGGGCTCTCTTGGAAACTCCTACCCCTTCTCTTTCTATATCTTCGATTAGTTATTAAACGAGAGTAAGCAATGTGAATTACTTCACAGGAGAGCTTTACTTCGTGTTGGGAGGGGCGAAGAGTAAAACCAAATTTGATTTTGAAATCAATAACAATAAGGTCTGTAACAATAAGTGTACGAGGCAGCTGTCAATCAGAACTCAGCAAAACTCCACAATCGCATGAAATGACTTTATTCCATGTAGTCTCCGTCTATAATGCAAGATTGACATATTAAATAAAAAAAGATTGCGTTGACTTCTGCATACAGAAGCAGCACGCATCAATCATCCAAGCCATGTAGCACCATGCAGACGTACATCTTACTGCACTCTGGGGCTAGAGCTTGTGCGACGGTAGTTCATATGCTGGTGTTTTTTGATTGAATATGCCATCTGTGTTATGAGGTAAAATCAACTTCAGTTGTATTTTAAAGCATGTTGGGAAAAAAATCATCTGGAATAGTACTTGGGAATCATTTTAATCATTTAGCATGGGGTAGTAGGAGCAATGCTATTATCCACAACAGCTTCATGTAAATTGGATTAGATGTTACATGAATACATAATGTAATTAACTTGAAACAAATTCACCTACAGCCTTATATCTGACACTCCCTATTTACCTTCAGCCACTTGTGCATCAAGCAGCAGTTTTTTAAAAACAACTGGAGCACCGTAAAAATGTCACTGAACCCTATCCTCACCCTAGCTACGATACAAAATAGTTTCCAAAATGGCTGAAACTGTGTTCTTAAAAAGATGGTAGAAAAATTAACTTTATAAATTTTCCTCTGGGGAATGTAGCAATTATTCCTTAAGGTGAGCTCTCATCACCAACAAACCCTGCTTTTTAATGGTTTAGATATACTGTGGAGAGTAAACAATGGAGCTGATAGAAAATCTCAATCATGACTTATATCCAGACTACCATCAGCCATTGTCTGGGTCTAGTTAATTTATTTTTACATTGCATATGTATAAAACTTACAAGTTCAAAGAACATTTTACAAATTTATGTGGATCTTTTGATTTCTTTTGGCTGGAATATTTTCCTGTCGTATGTTAAATTAACAAAGAACATTCCAATACAGCCTTGTGCAGCCTTGTTTTACTGCTTTAAAGCACACCCAAATATGCAACACACTCCAATAATCAACACCAGAAACACATTTTTCCTCAAAATTGTAAACACATTTAAAAAACAATGTTATTGTCTTATTCCCTTTTTGATCCTAATGCTTCGGTTGCCTTTCAATTTTATTTCAACTTGGACCAAATGTTTCGACACTTTTTAAAAAAATTCTGGTATAAACACAGAAGTCGCTGGGAACACAGTATTGTCACTTCTGACGACAGGTCATTGACCTGAAACATGAACTCATCTTCCTCTCTCCATGGATGCTGCCTGATCTGCTGCGTGTTTCCAGCGACTTCTGTGTTTATATTAGATTTCCAGCAGCTGCAGTACTTTGCCTTTTAAATAGTTTTCTGGTTTGTTTACTCATTCTTGGATCCACTGTCCATGTTCCATTTTGACTTTGAGTCTTCTACACAAAGGTTCTGCGTAAAATTTTACCCCCAAGTTACTTGCTCACTGTTGCGTGTGAAACTGAGGCATAAAGACAAGAAAACCCACGTAAAATCTGATTCCATGTTGATTTAGGTCATTTCAAGTCAGGTCAGAGTCCCACATAGGCATGTCACCTATGCATGGAAATTGTCCAATGTTTAGAATAGAACATGGGACATTTTAGCTCCTCTTAATAGGAGCTGAGTAGGAAGAATCCCTGCCCTCAGGGACTGGTCTGTTCCTCCAAGTCCTGCCGATGAGCCAGGATGTAATATGCCAGTTTCCTGGAGTACTGCGGACCCGCCTGGCTCAGGAACCGGACTACCAAGACCATCAAATGGGATTTCCTTGATTCTGAAATTCTATTGCCAGGCACATCACCTTGGAGCCTGTTCAGCTCCGAGAAGACCCCACTTAATTCCTCTCCTGACGAAGATAGACAGATATCATTAGATGTCAAACTGCAAAAGCGAAGTCTAAATAGTTTAGAACAGTTCAGCTCTCAATACAAATGACTGTATTGTCATTGTCAGCACAAGAAATTTGTACATCTTACTTCGCATGTCCAGTACTTACCAATCAAGCCTCAAGTTATTCAATATTTCTTTCAATGTAAAACATTTGCTGCATGTTCAGCTTCTGAACATGTGCACACCTTTGTGTCCGTGTCTCTCTCTGTCACACACACACACACAAAGTCTAGCACCTTCTCTCCGCACAGGTGGTAACCAGTCTGCCAGCCACTGAATAAATTTCTCTCACCTGTTTTGTCCCAGATAAAAACAGTTGTACCACCGCCCCTGCACCCACTCCCTCCCCTGCCGCACACCCTGACAGCTAAACTACCTCAAAATCTTCTCAGATGTATCAGAGAACGGGAGCAAAAGCAGCCCTGTTGCCAACAAAGAAAATGGTGCTTTTCCTGAAGCATTATATCGGGTACAAATGTGTGGTTACTACAAACGTGTGGTTAAGTAGTGGAGAATGCTTAACTATGAACAGAGCAGCAGCGGGGAACTGTAATATGCCTCGGCATCCTGGGTTTGGGATGGGGGAATATTGGGGGTTCACACTTTTGATCGATTCAGGGATTTTACGTAAGGTACTATATAAATGTAAATTTGTATTGTATTGTATTTTGCCTTAAAATGTAAAATCGCACAGAAATTGTGGAAAATTCTTAAATTCAGTCTTAATTTGGAAGTCACTTCCTTTTATGAGGTGTGGAAAAACAGCTTTCAGAATGAGACTGCGATTGAGAATTTTCCACGACCCTGTCATTTTTGAATGTTAAGACAAAAGGGTCCCACGGGCTAAAGCCAGGTTGAATTTCAAGGCTTAAGGTATTGGCCTTGGCATTAAGGCAATGTAGAATGCCAAGATTTGTTTGAATCTTACCTGAACAAACCACTGTCACTTCAGAGAATTTCACAAGGGTCAGTAGTCTGTGATATATACCTGGAACAAAAACAAGAAATTATCAAAATCGATACGCTTCAGATAAGAACCTTTTTTTTCTTGTGCTCTGTAACTTCACACAAAATACAAAGTCATCTCTTTATGGACGTGAAGTGCTGCAAATAGCAACATTACCAGTACTCAACAGACATATTGTATAATGAAGAAAATAAGTCAATTAAAAACTGAGCATCACTGACACCCATTCACAATAATTCAACTGGAATATTAAATTACTGGTACCAAGTAGAATCAATACAATACAACATTACATTTGTATAGCAACTTGCACGTCGGGAGGACAATCCAAGGTCTATAGGGGAGCCCATGTTTAAATCCATAACCCTATTAAATTAAAGATGCTAGAGATACTTATCTACACATGTTCAGCAAAGATAGTTCAGAATGCAAGATTCAGTTCATAGTATTATCAAGAATTCATAATTTTTTAAAGAAAGATTTACAGTGTGAATAAACTTTACCGATGATTATTGTGGAATTGACTGTGAATGACTGAAAGCAAATAACAGATACAACACAATTTACAATTATAAAGCACCTCCCACATCAGGAGGATGTCTCAAGGGCTCAATATTGCTGGCTTAGCACCTGAGCTACGGGTGGAAGCTGTAGAGGTTGGCGAGGGGAAATTGCAGTCAAAGAGGTGCGTCTTGAGATACAAGAAGCATCTTAAAAGATCTTTTTAGTTTAGGCAAGTTTAGTATAGAATTAAAAAGAAAGCTTCCCCCAATGCCCACAGGAAAAAAGGCACAAATTCCAAAATGCATGAATATATCATATGAAGCATTAGATAGGGCAGAGATGGGACTTGAAGGACTGAAAAGTGATTTGGCAACCTCTCTGGATTCTCTTCTGGGCTTTCTGAACCTCATCAACCAGAAGCAAAAGGCAAATTAGAGACCTGGGGCTACATTCTTAGATCAACATGCTTTTTTCACTTCCACAACATTATGCCATTCAGTGTAGAACAAACACAAGGTGCAAAAAGCCAACAACAACAACAAAATTACATTTATAGAGCACCTTTCACATTGGGAGGACATCCCACGGCACTGGACATTCAGGGGTCAGGACACGAGCATGGGGGAGGGGTGGGGTAGGGGTGAGGGAAGGCAGAGAGGTGGGAGGCCGACTGAAGACACGATCGATGAGGAGGGTCTTGAGACCGGCCTTGAAGGAGGCAAGGGAGGAAGAGAGGCGAAGGGACTGTGGGATGGAGTTCCAGAGTGTGGGGGCAGAGAGGCTGAAAGCCCGGCCACCGATAGTAGGGCAGATCGGGCGGGAGACATGGAGCAGGCCAGAGCCCGCTAAACAGAGGGAGCGGGCAGGTTGGTGGGGAGTCAGCAGGTCAGAGAGGTAAGAGGGGGCAAGGCCATGGATGGCCTTGAAAGTGACGACGAGGATCTTGAATTCGATCCTTTGAGGGATCCTTTGAGTGGAGTCGGGCGAGGGTGGCAGTGATGGGGTCGTGGAGCCTGGTGTGCGAGAGCACATGAGCTGCAGAGTTTTGGATGATCTGCATCTTGTGAAGGGAAGAGTTGTGAAGGCCGATGAGGAGGGAGTTTCCATAATCGAGCCTTGATGTGACGAATGCATGGGTGAGGGTTTTGGCAGCCTGAGGGATGAGGAAGTGGCGGAGTCTGGCAATGTTGGTAGTGGTGGTAGGCAGGGAAAACAACAAGATCAAACGTATTTTTCTGCACTGTGCTGAAAGTTGTCAGAACACCGTGAAATAGCTCAAAATCTTCCTCTTTGAAAAAAATTTAAAAATTAAAAAAAATTGTACCTTAGCTTCTAGTATATAAATGTAGTCCACAAACCATTTTTTAAACTCACAAAGCATTGTTTTTCGAGACATCCATTGCAATTGTCATTTACAAAGTTAAAAGGGTCCTTTCATTAACGTGCTGCTCTATTCTGTATACATAATTACTGTATAAAATCAGATACTGAAAATACTTCAGGAAAAACACAGAATTGCTTAAGTCTGTTGAACTGCACATGTAGACCACATTAATGAAAGCTTTTAAACAATCAAACTGCAATGGTAATTATTTGCTAACGCAGCTCTGGGATATTAACATTCCCCACAATGCAGAGAACAAATGAAAAATAAAAAAAGAATACCTAGCCTGTATCTCTGCATTTTAGATACATTTTCAACTTCCTTATCACTCAAAAGGTCAACCACTATGTGCTGCATTGCCTCCTCGTATTAAATTTGCTGTAAAACCTTTAAATCAGTCAGCCCTGTGCTTGGCTGATTCAAAGAAAACAACTTGCATTTACGTAGCGCTGTTTGCATAGAGTAAGCCCTCGGAGTGCTTTCCTGAGACGGTGCTGGAAAGGGAGAGAGGTGACCGTAAGCGCGTCTGAAGAGGTAGGTATTTTGGCTGCTTTTGTAGACAGATTGGAGGAGGTGGGGGGTGAGATTGAAGTGTTGAAGGAGGGAGTTCCAGATGGTGGGGGAATTGTGGCTTGACTGCAATGGTACAATACAATTCTACATTTATAATCGCACCTTTCCCTTCGGGAGGATGTCTCAAAGTGCTGGTAGGGCAGAGGGGGCAAGGGAAGTGCAGCAGGCCAGAGTTTGCCAAGCAGAAACACAAGCAGAAGGTCACAGAAGAAGGTAGGGAACGCAAGGGAATGAAGGATTTGTAGGTGACAATCCTAAAGTTGATCTGCTGTGAGCATGGGTTGACATGCCAAGTTTTGTATGGATGTGGGCAACAAAGGTTTGAATGAGCTGGGGCTTGTGGACAATGTAGCTTGAAGGGCAATGAGGGAAGGAGTGAATGAGGGTTTTGGCAGTGTTGGTCATGAGGTAGGGATGGAGAAGGGTGATTCGACTAATAAGATACTGGGTTGCAATAGTAAGGGAAGAAGCTATTTTTTTCCTACAATGCCCAGCCGCCATCTTTATTCCTGAGCTAAAACCAAGGAAAACCAACGAATATTTATAGCAGAGCATAAATGGGTCCAAAAAGCATGTAGATTATTTGTGGAAAGAGATGGAATTAAAGGAGATAATAAAAAGGGATGAGACAAAGATCACAAGACAGGTTCCAACAGATTTCATTCTTCCACAAAAGCTCCCCTTGCACCAACTGTTTTCTTTTAAATATAATTGAGTCCAGTGTCCTGGCTTCAACCACCCTTCCTGATAACCTGCTCCAATCCAAAAAAATGGGTTTATTAAGCCTGATAGCCTTTTGAGCTTCCTAAAGATTATTATGTTGTCTCACTCACAGAGAAGGGTAAACTCGTCCAACAACCAAACAATCAAATCGTGAACTAATTATCATGTAACATGTGGGATTAGACCATATAATCCTTAAAGCACAATTTAACCGCACTGTTGTTTATAAGGGTGTTGCAGGCAAACCTCCAGGATCTTACTTTACACACTCCCACAGACTTTTAATGTTAAAGTGAACAGTATCATCTGAACAGATACCCAATAGATTCATTTGGATCTACCCCCATAATATTTTGTAGAAGAATATTGCTCCCTGGTTGGTAGATACAATATTTTCTCCATTTGCCACATATAACGTAACATACAGTTATTTAATTATTTAATCAGCTTGGTAGGGGCTACAGCTAAGAGCAATCTATTCAGTGAAGTTAATAGTATCCGTGAAAAGTATGACTGGATTTGTGGCAACACCATCAGTGCTGCTAAATGGCTTTTTACAGTATATCCCAGTATAAGCATTCAGAATATCCATCATCAACATTGAATTTAAATTACAATTGAACCCTGTTCTTGATCTTGTTGTTCCTCNTTTTTTTCTTCTAATATATATTCTAATTTATCACAAAACAAAAGGCATCCATGTATGGAAATGACAAATGTGCCGTCTGATGGCAATAATGAACTCTAAGGCATTAAGGGGTGGGGATGATCACTCCAGCAATCGTTTTAGCACTTGGCTTCTGCCTTGTGTCAAGTCAAAGTGTGCTGTTCAATCATTATTACCTAAATACAAGGTAGTTTGTGAGTAGTGTGCAGGTCAACAAACCAAAGCAGTAATCATTTTGAAGAGAAAATGCACACTCCAACCTTTTGTTTTTGGTCTCTCCCTAGCCACTTCTCTCCTAGCCACTTTGCATTACAGACGCTTCAATGAGTATTGCTGGAGCCTCCAGGGTGGCAGAATCTGTGCTGTTTACACCATGGGCCAGATTGCACTGGGCCAGCAGCAGGACTCAAACAACTGCACGTGTTCAATAAAAAACGGCAGCTTTTATTTTTTGACAGCAGGTCCCTTTGAAAACGGAGCTGTTGGCCTGTGCTAGTGGACTGAGAGCTCAGCCATCAGAAGTAAGAGGTGACAATTCATAGAAGGGTAAGATCACATGGCAGCAGTCCTTTGGTACCTGGCCTGAGTTAGCACTCCTCTTGTGTTTGCTTGAACAATAAGCACACTGACAGGCTATTCAACTGCAGGAGCGATCAGAGCCAAACCCAACCTCTGCCCCTAATCTGGCATCCACACACACATGCATTACTAAGCAGGATAATTCAATACTAATCAATTGTAGGAACCCTGACCAATTTGCCTGCAGCAGAAGCCATTAGCAGCACTTTCCCAGATGGTAGTGACCAATCTTGGACCTTCCTGGTCTGTGTGGCTTATTGTCACATGGCATGTTGTATTTACCCACTGAGCCATAAGAAAGTCATTCAAAACATTACCTGCATCCTTTTGTTTACATGGGAGAAACTAATTTCCAAGGCAAATGTTTCCACCTACACAGAATAGTTGTGGTTCCTGTGAGAAACTCATTAGCATTCATTAGCCCCTTTCTCCCACTGGGTAAGAGAATTATACTCTTCGGTGCTTCCAAAAATAATAGAGAATTTTGTTATTAGAGTATCGGACAGTCATTAGGACACAGCATCCATTTCTGTTTAATCACTGGAATAAGCCAAG